CAAGCCCTTGTTCTTATCAACAAGAGCCGAATTTTTAATGAATTATTAACTATTGTGTAAAAGTTATTTATAAAAACTTGCATTTGTACATGAAATTTCGTTGTGAGATTATCGATACTTCTGTTTTTGCTTTGGATAACAACTTGAGTGCTTTCATGTGTCATTAAAATCACAACCTTACAACTAGCATGAACACAACCACAAAGAACTATTGATGCTGCTTCTGCTCTTCTCTTCACCAGCATGAACACCACCATCAATCTTACAACCACAACACATTCCTCCCTCTTTCAACATTGCAAACACACTTCACTTCTCCACCATTAAAACAATCATATCATCACTCGTATTTTATTAATGCAGATGGCGTTTCTCACGATTTCATCAAATGATTTCACTATAGATTGGATTCTCTCCATGCTTGATGATTCTTCAGACTCTAGTTTTAAAATAGTTTTGAAACATGTTGGACACACTGTTATTTGTTATTTGACCAAGTTTTCTTCGCATTAGCTTTCATGTGTCATGCTACAACAAGGATATTGGTGATACACGATGCTTCAAACATAACAGGTTATTACCATTTCATTCACATTGACATGATGCTAAAATTAAACAAAGATATATTATTATTCAAAAAACTACTGCATGATACATCATCATCATCAAGAGAAACATTAAAACAAAGTCCTTCTCCGCCTTGTGTTGTTGTTTCATAACCCTCTCTGATTTGGTTTGATTGCGCCTGGATTTTGTAAATCTATGTTTTTTTTTTGTTTCTAAATTTGTGAGTGAGGGTAAGGGTTTGTGAAATCTGAGTTCAGATTTAAACTCAGTGGCTTGATTTATGTAGGATGAAGGTGTTTTAAGGGGTAGCCAGAGAAGGACGGCGGTATTGTTCAGTTGCTGAGAAACAAAAGTGTGTTTGAGAGAGAACATTGAAGAGTTAGAGGGAGTCTGAGTGAAGTGAACTGATTCACCCTTGTTTTCTATTTTTTATCTTTCCTTGCCATGTGATTTGATACTACTGAGGGTGGCAGTTGCTACCAGTGACAAGTGTGACCAATCTTCACTTCCATTTTATTCCGTGTGTGTACTCCCTGCTTCTCCACCGTGTACCACGCATATCCTGGCCATTGGTCTCAGATTCAATGTTGACTCAGTAGAGGATCAAAGATCCAGATTTGATGGCAAGTCAGGGTTTACTTAAGGGTCCACGGTGGACCCTCCTCCACAGTGTGAGCCATTAACTCAATGGTATTGAGATTTATTCTGATTCACACCCCCTAGTTACTAATTTCAGGCCAGCCCATTTGTTTTTTCTCTTCTTGTTTTTTATTTATGTTATTTATTTCTTTTCTATTTATTTTATTTATTTTTATGAGTTTTCATTTAATTTTTTCAATTATTAAAAACTTAAAAAATATTTTTTCTTATTAATTTTTATTAATTTTATTAAACCTTTATATTCAATACTAATTAATCTATTTAAGAATTAACTTTATTAAATATTTAAGTTTAACTAATTAATTATTTCTTTTTGTTGATTCCTTTATTTATTAAAATTCAAAAAATATTAAATTATTAATTATTTTAAATGTCTTTATTTAATATTGACTAATTAATTCATTAGTTAATCTTATTAAACATTTACATCTAATAAGATTAATAAATCTTTCTTTTGTTTGTTTTATTTTGTTCATGTAATGCCTGATTTCTTTGATGATCATGTCTTTACTCATGTGTGATTGATGTTCATGCCATATTGCTTTTGATTTTTGTTCCTCATATGCATGCTTAAACCTTTTTCAAACTAATACCTTGATTAAATATTAAGTCATTTTCAAACACCTTGTAAGTCGATTGTTTTCACGATCTCCATTTGCCTCTTAGTCTCCTCTTGGGCTTTTTTACAATGATACTCATTTTGCATTTCATGTACTTGTTTGTATGCATTTATGTGATGATTTTATTTGTGCTATAGTTTGGTTTCATGCCCATTTGAGCAAATGTATCCCCACTCCCACAAAGTATAATAATTTTTTATCTTTCTGTTTTGATTGCTAGTTGCTTAAGTTCTCCCTTAATGCAAGATTAAAATCAATCACCCACTTTTCAAAAAACGAGATAAATAAGCTTGATCAAACGTCAAGCATTTTTCATAAGAAAATAAATAGGGTTTTCCATCATCATTAATCCTTAAACCAACTACATTCCATATTGCATTCACCCTTTGTAAGTCAATTGTTTTTACGGTCGCCATCAACCTACCCATTCACCAAAACTTTTCTTAAAATAACCAATAAACTCTTGATCCAAGATCAAGTGACCTTATCTTAATCAAATTCAAAAACACAATAAAATATGAGAAAAATTATGCGCCACGAGCCCTAAGTGGTGGAGAAGGGGTGAGAATGGAGCTTTCTTACACTCACTCTGATTATTTCGACACAATGCGTTCGACTTGGTTGCTTGAAATAATCATCTATACCCATAGCCTTTAGTGGAATTCAACTCAAGAATAATCCTTTTCAAAACCTAAAAGACACTTAACTCATCAAATTTATTTTGTGTCCCGTGGCATTACTTCCTAAACCCTTTTTCAAGGTAATAAAATCAACCAACACACAACTATTTTCTACTCTGAACTATGGATCTCTGACATCCTTGTTTAACAATGAGGATACGTAGGCACGAGGATATTCATCCTTGGTGAGCACCCTAAGAAAAAACATCTATTTAGGAGTGTAGATGAATTGGGTCAACCCATAAAACCCATTCAAACCCATCCAAAAAATCCATAAAAGTGGGTTGGGTCGGGTAATTGATTGGATATGTGTTTAAAAACTAAAAAAATCATTAAAATTTTTGGATTTCTGGTCAAACCAGATCCAAACCCAAAAAATTCACTGACCCACTAATCAAACATTTATTATTACAATTTTAATAACTTTAATAAATATTAACTTAGTTGTTGCAACTTTAGTCTCTTAAAATTTACTATTTTAGTGAACCATGACTTTAATTAATTTTGAATGTTTTACTCTTTAGTTATTTTGATACTAATACAATTTGATGTCATGCAACTTTAGTTTGTTGCTAGTATTTTATGATAATTTTTATTAGTTGATGATATCATTTATTATTTTATGATGTTAAAAGATACTAAAATTAAGTTATCAAATTTATTTTAAAAAGATAAAAATGTTGAGTAATTTTTATGAAAAAATTATGACGACTCATCATTTAATCATTTAATATTAGTAAAATAGAAAAATTATTTGGGCAACCCAATCGAACTCGAGAACTAATTGGTTTGTCCAAACCGACCCATTGGTGTAACGAGTGGTTATATTACCTCACCCAAACCACAATATTCTATATGGATTGGGTATTGGGTTTGGCCAAATCCAACCCAAACCGGCCCATGTACACCCTTACATCTATTTTCCCCCTAGCAAGCTTTTTGAGACATCCATACCCTTTTATGCTTAGACAACTTAAATGGTTCTCATCGAGTGCTAGTACATTTTCCTTACATAACCGACTTTTTAACCCGAAATGGTTGCGATGACCATACCCTATCCTTTTTCATCTTTGGGTTTTCTCGATGTTTTTCCTTTTCCCTCATGGGAATAAATAAAGGTCGATGGCGACTCTCCTAAGTCCATTTGTGATCGTGCAATCCTGTTTTGCGGATTGTGAAGATCGTATTTTCCGAAATATGACACTCACATGCTTATTACTATTGGTCGGTCTCTTTTATTAATTAATCTCTTCAGAGTTCATTGTTTATTTTATTGGTCCCAACTGATAACATTTAGAGCACTTTGAAGCTCTAATTGTTTTAATTGACAAAGGTAGAGTACATAGAAACTTGATCTTAAGTGACACCCAATTGAGCATTTAAGAAAATATGGAATATTACACTCTACACCTGAGTGCCACGTGTAAATACAAGAGACTAATTTGTCTTTCCAAACAAATATCATCACGAGGTGCATTAAATGCTACCCATATTTCTTCTCCTCAAACACTCAATCAGGAACAAATTCTAGTCCATCTTGTTTTACAAATAGCCTAGCTATCAAGTGATCACCTCAAAAAGCTGAAGACACATCCTCTTTTCTAAACATGATAGAAGTAAAACATTAAGGGTGTGATTGGTTGTAGAGAGAAACTATGAAGATAGAAATAAGTAAGATAGAGTATGAGAAGAGAGAAAGAGATCACCTCAAAAAGCTGAAGACACATCCTCTTTTCTAAACATGATAGAAGTAAAACATTAAGGGTGTGATTGGTTGTAGAGAGAAACTATGAAGATAGAAATAAGTAAGATAGAGTATGAGAAGAGAGAAAGAGATAAGAAATAGAGCATATTTGATGTATTGTTTGGTATAATAAAAAGAAGAGAGAAATAGAAGAGAAAGATATATGTGTTATTTTTGAAAAGATACAAATACTCTTAGTTAAAAAGTATAGAATATTATTGAAATTAGTTTATTTTTAACTATATTTAATTATGTTAATTTAATATAATAAATTGTAAACTTATTTAAAACAAACAAATATTTGAATTCAGTTCTAGTAAATACCCCTTAGTTAAAAATTATAGAATATTATTGAAATTAATTTATTTTTAACCATGTTTAATTACATTAATTTAATATAATAATAGTGAATTTAGTTAATAATACTGCATAATTCTTCACTGCAGTAAGAAAGTTTAGAAACTAAATCAGAGATTGAATGATACAAATATGACAAATGAGTCTTATATCATATTAAACATAACCAAAAATGAGAGAAAATAACACTTTGTAATTCTCATTCATAATAAAACTGGACCAAATGATACAGTGGGATCAATACCTACATATACATAAACTATAATTAAATACTACCTAAACTAGAGTTTTGTAAAATATAACTAACTCTATACACTAGCATTTTTGTGCTTTGTAGTAGTTCACAATAATTTAACTAGAGAATAGTGAAACTTAATCACTATTAAGTAACTTTATTTCATCATCTGGGTTAGAACTAATACCTGCTTCAGGTTGGATCTCATTCACACCTTGAATATTCAGTAAGTTTTCGAGCACATCTTCCATGGTTGGTCTCATATCACTAGAAACTTGGAGACACAGAAATGCTAACTCGGCAACACCCTTAATCATTTGATTTTCTTTGGAATCTGAATTAAAATCGAGGGTATTGTCCACAATATCAGTCAAAGTTTGATTTTGAATTTTTTTCATAGCCATTTTGTACAGAAAGACATCACCGTCCTTTCTGCTGATATCATCATAAGCACGCAAACATGTTATTAGCTCTATCAGCACCACTCCAAAACTAAAGACATCACTTTTATAAGTAAGCTCCTGAGTTTTTTTGTACTCGGGATCTACACAGCCCAAAGTCCCTTGTGGAGTTGTTAAAACACGACTTTTATCAATTGGAAAGATGCGGGAGAGTCCAAAATCTGCTACTTTGACATGACATTCGGCATTTAAAAGAATGTTACTCGATTTAATATCTCTGTGGACGATATTAGAAGCATGAAGATACTTCAATGCATCTGCAGTCTCCACAGCAATCCTCATCCTAATATTCCAAGGAAGTTTTTTAGATGTTTCTTTGTCACCATGAAGATGATTGTACAAACTTCCGTTAGAAACATATTCATAGACAACCATAGCTTCTCGGCTTATTAGTGATGTGCAACCATATAACAACACAAGATTGGGATGCACAACCCTTGCTAGTATTTCTATTTCGTTGAGAAACTGTTTTTCTTTATTTCTGGTGTATTCAAAAAGTCTTTTCACCGCCACTTCACGCCCATCTAGTAGTTTTCCTGAAAATAATCAAATGATAGAAAATATTTGTTAAGACTATTAAAATGTAATAAATGGCCATAGGTACAGTAAACAAAGTAGACTCAATTTCTTGCTGTTTGAGTGTCCCACAGTCATTGCAGGCAGTTTATATAAGTTGAACATCATGAGTTGTCAAATTGAAATTTAGAGTCTCAACTGTATGATCCCGATCAATGGGTGAAGTCAATGACTGCAATGACTGTTAGCCATAAAAACTATATTTCGTCTACAAAAAGTGCTATATTTTACCACGAAATACTTCGCCACTGCCTCCATCTCCTAGTCTGTTGTCATCGCTAAAATGCTCTGTGGCCACATCAAGATCATCAAAGATGAAATGCTCGACTCCAAAGTTTTTACTTTTGCTAATCCGTTTAGATGGTTGTAAGGAGATGCTAGGAGAGTGTATATAGGACTCAGCATAACTATTATTATTGTGGCGCCTATAAATGCATATGGATGCGATGATAACAAGTGTTGCCAACATAGAAGAAATGACACCTTTCATAAAGAATAGGAAGTATAAGTAATTATATTGTGTATAAGAAGTATCTACATGGAGAAAATCATGAAATATATAAGGAAATTGAACTTATTACCAGTAGTGAGTTTCATTTTCCAATTCCATTTTCCTGCATTATTTAGTTATGAGTTAGCATTGTGATAGTTCAAATATAATTTCATACTTGAATATTCAAGGAGAATTGTATTTGGCATACCTTTTGGTAATGTGGATTCCTTTGAGAGACACATAACTGCATTTTCTGCTCTTTTGTATCCACATCTCCCTCCATGTTTTATGCAATTATGGCACGTATCATCTCCCACACCATTCCATCTCACTTCAAATCCTTCATCTAAAACATCCTTTGTAGCTCTTGAGTTGTTTTTCAAAGAATTCTTTTTTCCAAGAACTGTGATATTATTCTTACACTTCATAACACTAAAATCAGTCAATTTGGCGCTTGATACTATGTATACAATATGAAATTTTCCCTCCATATGGCAAGACATTACTTTAAAATTATATTGATTCGAGGGAGAATAGTATGAATCTGGAAGAGGACCACACTCATACAACATAGTATAGATTTCATTGTTAGAAGTGTAATTGAAGAAATGAAAATCTATGTCCACCTTAGTATAACGTTTGGGACAAAGATATTTATCCCCAGGAATAAAATCCCACATATCTTCTCTTGCAATCCTTAAAACTTGAGAGGCTTGATTTATATGAAGGATGTGAAACTTTTGGTCCTTGATTTTCATAGTCAAGCTTCCGTTTCGGCAGTCAAGCATAAACTCAGGGTGTCCACAATAGCTAGGTTGAGTGTTAATATTCCAAAAAGGATAAGTTATATTAATAAAATTACCGCAGCTAAAAGGTTCACAAGATGTGTACATCTCATCTGCGGTAACATATAATTGGCTCAAGAGTAGTGGGAGTAAAAGAAATGTGTTGATGAAAGAAAAAGTTAATGATATCTGAGAAGAGTATTGTTTCATGGTGACTCTGGTAATTAGAACCTCTATCATGCAACCTGAAATTCAATTGCATTTGTTAATATATACTACAAGATATAGGATGATTTTAATAGACAAATTGAAATATTATATTTTTAAAATCTTATATACATAAATGTCAATTGTCATACATAGATTCTGAGATAGAGATTTGTCATGAATTTACAATCAAAAGTATTTTTTTTCAAAGATGCAATATATTATTAGTTTTTAGCACTATTTAATTTCTATTTCTATTAGTGGTTGAAGAATTGTGACATGGAAAGGTTAACAATTATTCATTATCTTTTTTAATCTACACAATTTTATTATCAAAGTTTTGTCATTATCTACAAAATCTAATAGAACGTATCAACATAATATATCATTCAACATTTAGATACTTATTTTGATTTTTATTAATATATTTTTAAGAAAAGGTTTAAGAAATGTTCAATGATGAGTATTACATTGCATGTGATGGTGTTCTGCTCTTAGCTGATGTTTCTTGAAGTAAATGTTTTTGTATTCATGTTATTCTACCTAGGGATAAGAGTTTGCATGGAAGTTATGAATCTTGAAGAAACTTTTATGAGATTGATCTTGACAATCAAGGCTGCCATGGTGGCCCAAAAATTGATTAGTAGAAAATCAATTTGTTCATTCTATTTGCTTCTTTTTAGTAGTAAAAAAGTAATATTGATTAGTAGAAAATAAGGATAAGGACATTATTTACTTTTTTGTCTCTTATACCTTCTCTCTTCCAATCTATTTTGTTAGAAAACTAATTATAACAAACTTTGTCTTCTTCTTTCTCTTCGTACCTGAACTGTTTTCTTGTCATTGTTCAAGAAAGCTTTTCTTTCTCATAAGATCACTTCGTTCCTCGTGCAATGTTTATCATAATAGGATTGATTGGTGAGTCTTTTATTTGTGAAAAAAAATTATGTGAGTTCTACGATCTTAAAAATTGATGGTCTCTAAAGCCAAATACTCGTATCAAAATATTACCAGACAGGAAAGTATATCCAAAATGTAAAAATTTATAATAGAGTCTCACTCTAAACATAATATTTGCAATAGCCAAACAGGAAGCATATTCATGTTAGAGATAAAGAAGTCAATGTAAGCCTCAGGTTCTCTTTGTAAATAAATAGTAACAGTGTTAGTAGTTAAGTTAGTTAAGCTGGTAGTTAGCAGTTAACTTTAACTGTAAGAGTTAACTTTGTTAGGGACTAGTTTTCCATAGATGGTATATATGTTGATCTAGTGTAACTGTTTTGGATTGAATGATTGAATCACATTACTAGCATTTCCTTCACTTTCTCTCTTGTTTCACTATGAGAATGATGAACATTGAAGTTCATCTTCTATATCTTCAACATGGTATCATAGTCTAGTTCCGGTCCTGGGACCTGTAGGTTATTATTCGTACTTTCTGATCCTCCACGCTTCCCTAATTCTGAATTTTTGATTCATCTTTTTTATCTCTGCATGCGCGGTTGATTATCACAAAATCGTTGGTTCAAGGTTCTTCAATGAAGTCCCCAGATAATCAAGAATCAGTGATCAAAGATCCAACTCAATCTCAATAAATTTTTGCAGGTTTTGCTTCGACTAAATCCAACAACGTGTTGGGACCAAAACTTTTGATCAAGCTGCAAGAGAACAACTATTTTCTCTAGAATTAACAAGTTGAAGGAGTAATCCTAACTCAAAAGATGCATAAACTTGCTGTAAATCCTCAGATCCCTCAGAAATACAAATCGACTCAAGATCGCATTACATGTATTAGAGTATTAGAATAGTATGCAGTGTAATATGTACTATCTGTACAACTGTAGCCAGTGTAACTAACTGTGCTGATTCAGCATAGTTAGGGCTTGCTATATAAGTCAACTTCAGCTTCTATTGTAACTAATTCAGTTGTATTGAATCATTATGTTAGATAACAAACTCTCTATTCTACTCTTCTCTCTCTTCTAATCTTCTTCAGCTTCTCTGTTTCTAATATGGTATCTAGAGCTTAAGTACGATCTGCGGCCATGGCTTCCGATGAGAACTCGGCGAACACCGCCGAAAACACGACGTGAGAGACGCAGACGGCGGCGCAATGCAATGCGAAGAACATTTTCAAAACTTTCTCGCAGCAAGTCACCCTCAAGCTGAACGAAAACAACTTCTGATCGTGGAAGCAACAGGTCGAAGGTATTATTCGCACTCACAAGCTTCATCGTCTTCTTGTTAATCCTGAAATTCCACCGCGCTACCTGAGCGATGAAGATCGCACCAACGACACTGAGAATCCGACATTTGTTGCATGGGAACAGCAAGACTCACTTCTATTCATGTGGCTTCTCACCACGTTATCGGATTCCGTTCTTCCAAGAGTGGTTTGCTGTGTTTAATCTCGTTAGATTTAGGATGAGATTCACAAATTCGTCTTCGCGCATACAAACACGGAGTCTCGTCAGCTGCGATTGGAACTCAAATCCATTACCAAAGGTGAGAAATCCATTTATGAGTATCTAGCTCGTATTCAACGAATTGTTGATATTCCGGATTCCATAGACGCACCTGTTTCACATAGGGATCAACTTGAGGCCATTCTTGATGGCTTACCTGAGGAGTTTAATGCTTTAGCTTCTATTATTCAGTATCGTGCCACACTTGTCCCATTATTGAAGCTGAGTCCATGCTTCTTGATCATGAGGCAAAGTTAGAAAGGTCCAAGAAGAATTCTCTTACTGAACCTATGTCTATCAATGTGGCACAAATAGCTACTACTCCACAAGCTATGCCTCAAATTCAGAATGTTCCTTCTCAAATGGTTCCACCCAACAGTGTGCGTAACTTTACTGATTCTCGTGGGGGATATCATGGTGGTAGGTCCTCTGGTCGTCATAGAGGTGGCAGATCAGGTGGTAGGTTCAGAGTGCAGTGTCAAATCTGCTACAAACCAGGTCATGATGCTAGTATATGCTATCATCGTCACTCCAACCTCATGCCTCCTCCAATGCAATCTCCATGGGGATATTCAGCTGCTAACTTTAGGCCAGCATGGAATCAATGGACTAACACCAGCATTCCTCAACCTTCTGCACAACAAATCAGTGGTTGGTTCCTCAAACTATGGTTACTCCTCATTCGAATCAGCGGCTCTCTCCAGCTTTAAGAGGACCTCCTCCAGGATTTGCTCCTAGACCCTCTTATCAGCCACAAGCTCATCTCACAGGCTCAGGAGTCACTGCTGTACCTCTGCAACCTCAGGTCTGGTATCCAGATTCCGATGCCACTCACCATGTAACCAACAATGCAAATTTTCTAGCTGAAAGTAGCACTTTACCTGGCACTGATCAAGTTCATCTTGGTAATGGTTAAGGTTTGCCCACACTTCTATAGGCACTGCTAGGTTTCAGTCACCTCACTTAACACACACTCAACTTACACTCCAAAATCTCTTACTTGTCCCTACTATTACTAAAAACCTCATGTCTGTTAGCTAGTTTGCCAAGGATAATCAGGTTTTTTTTTAGTTTCATGCTGATAAATGCTTTGTGAAAACTCAGGCTAATTCTGAAGTGGTGCTTCAAGGTTTTCTGAATAAAGACAGTCTATATGCTTTTGATTCCATTAAGCTCAATCCTTTCTCAACAACAGCAGTCAATAATGTCATTGGAGCCTCAACATAACATGATGCAGGAGTCTCTACATCAGCACCAGCCTCTGTTCAACAACCTATATCTCCTTACCTTATGTGGCATAACAGATTGGGTCATCCTACTCATGAAGCATTGAAGACTACTCTTCAACTGTGCAAAGTGTTTGTACCTCACAAACTTGTTCTGGATTTTTGTAGTCCCTGCTGTCTGGGCAAAATCCATAGATTACCTAGCTCACTTTCACACACTTTATCCACTAGACCTTTTGATATGTTGTTTGCTGATGTGTGGGGACCTGCCCATGTATTGTCCTCATGTGGATACAAATATTTGCTGACTTGTGTTGATGCTTGTTCCAAATATACTTGGGTGGTTCCTCTTAAACTTAAATCTGATGTTCTTCTCACTCTCACACAATTTATTACAGCTGTTGAAGTTTAGTTTTCCACTAAGTTAAAAGCTATTCAAACAGATGGAGGAGGAGAGTTCCAAGCTCTCAAGTCTCTCTTACTCACACAGGGTATTGCTCATTGACTGGTCTGCCCTCACACACACCACCAGAATGGGACTGTAGAGAGAAAACATAGACATGTGGTTGAAACTGGTTTGACCATATTAGCTCAAGCCAATCTTCCATTAAAATTTGGGGATCATGCTTGTCTTATGCTTCATACATTATCAACAGGATGCCTACTCCCTTATTGTCCATGCAATCTCCTTACTCCCTTTTATACCAAGTTCATCCTGACTACACCTTCCTTAAGGCCTTTGGGTGTGCCTGCTACCCACACCTCAGGCCTCTCCTCACAAGTTTAACTTTCACACACAAGAGTGCATCTTTCTAGGCTACTCCTCTAATCACAAAGGATACAAGTGCCTTGCCCCTAATGGAAGACTTTACATCTCCAAATATGTTATTTTCAATGAGTATAGTTTTCCCTATCCCCAATTATTTTCGACTAAGACTACCTCTTCTATGTCTGTCTCCCACAGTTCTTCCTCTTCATCCCATTTTCCCTTTGAACCAAAACTGTCTTCTATACCTTTATCCCTTCCTTCAACATCCACCTCTTCTCCATTTGCCCATTCATCTGGTGGCAGCCCCTCATCTCCTCCTAACACAAGCAACTCATCCATTTCATCACCTTCTATGCTCCCCTTAAATCAGCCTACTGATTCCACTTCAACACCCTCTACGTCTAATCCCGCACCATCCTCTCTTGCACCATCTTCAACACCCTCTCTTGCAAGCTCTTCTACATCTCCACCTCTTCCCTTTCTCCATCCCCAAAATACTCATCCTATGGTGACTAGAAGAAACAGTGGTATAGTTCAGCCTAT